CCCCCCCCCGCCCACGCCCGCACACACAAACACTCGTGATCTTCCCACCGAGTCCCGCAAGACACGGCTCCGGCAGGCGGGAGCGCTTAGCGTGCCAGAAGGCCAAGGGGAGTTGGGATGGTGGGACGACATTGACAGTCCAGGCCAGCACTGCTGGTCACGTCCTTCCACCGGGCGCCCCACAGGCCCCTTCTCTCACTACAGCCCCACTCACAGCGCCTTGTCCCAGCCAGTTTGGGAGGAACCTTGGCCACTCCCTGGCTCCAGCATCCCTTTTACCCCAGAAGGATAAGAAACTCCCCTCCCTGTCCCCGCACGGTGCTCACCCGGCGAAGCTGCCACTCCGCCACAGTCTCAGTGCAGCAATTTACACTCCAAACTCTTCAGTCTGGAAGAGCAGGTGGATTTTGCATTTGCATAACCAAAGGGCTCATGGGAGTGCGTTCTTCCACCCCAGGGAACAGTCCTGTCCCAGTTAAATTCTACGCCTGCCTTTACTTTCACAGAAGATTGCAAGCACTGTTGAGATGGTGGGGTCCTATTTCCAGACACGCCTGGCATGAGCAGGCACGTGGAGAAATAACTGCCCAGCCACTGTCTGGAGAAGTTTGGCAACACCTGCCAACAGCTTCTAAAGTCCCTGCCCTTTGACCCACTCCTAGTGTTACCTTGGAAATGACCTCCATTCTTGTGTCAGGAAAGGAATACCCCTTCAACAGAATGAAAGCGGGTTGTCTCTAGAGTGAGAACAACAGGTCAGATGTTAACGTTGGAATATTTATTGAGAAACTCTTAGCTTTGGGTCCTTTTGGCTTCTGCGTTGGGGTCATTGTCTTGTTAAGAGAGACATTGAGTAATCTACTAGTTCCTGCTCTAATTGATAGAAAATTTGTTTGAAATTTCTAAACTTTGTTCTATCTAGCTCTTTGATTTGGGATTTTTGTTTCATTAAATTTACTTATGAAAACTTCCCTGTGCCAGACACAGTTGATATTTAGGACATGGCTTACTCTTGAGTGAAGAGTGGATTAAGCTTTAGGGTTGTGACCAACTTCAAAGCGTTCTGTGACAGCCCCTGGGCTCTGGCTACTTAATCTTAAATAGAGATTAGTTGAGTTACAATGATTTCTTCCTTTTTTCCTTATGTCTAGCTGCTACCTATCAGTAGGAGTGCTTTTCTGAAAATAGTAGCCATCTGGGGTGGTCATCCTACAGCAAAACCTCGACAGACGATTTTATGCCTGGTAGGGCTGAATCCGCACTCGTGCACAGTGGGATACAATGCAGCCATGAAGTATATGATACGACTGTCTCCATGGACAGATGTCTTGTGATGCTGTTGAGAGAAAAGGCACAGGGTATTTTGTGGGAAATAAAAACAACCAAAAATTATTCTCAGTTCTGCGTATCTGAGTCCCTCTGGATCTGCAGACTTACCCACTTTCTTTTCCTGACACTATCTCCTAATCCTGCCCCCAGATAGCCAGGTTGTACCCCAACATGAACTTGGAGCTCCAGGGAGCTGTGGTCTCCGCCCCACTCCTGAACTTCAGCCCTGGGAACCTGTCCTTGGTGCTCCAGATGGAGACTGAGGGCTTTGTGCTGCTGCCCAACTCTGCCCGAGAGCCTGTCTTCCGACTTGGTGTGGTAAGGTTCAGAGCCTTAGCAAATGCTGTTCCCTTTTCTTGCATGCTGTTCTCCCCCTCACCACCTTGCTGATTCCTCACGTCTCAACTGAAACATGGCTTCCTTAGAGAGGCCTTTCATGATTTCTCTTACCCCCAACCTATCTTACCTCTTGCTATTGATTTTCAAATAAGACCACTGAGTCCCTGAACCCAGGAAAGTAACTGCCCACATAGGCACTGAGCTGGGCTCCATCTAGACTCTGTGATACCCCATGATTTCTCTTCACAGTGTCTATTACTGAGTTATTTATGTAGATATTTGCAGATTTATTTGTTTGATGTTTGTAGCTCCCAGAGTCAGGACCATAGTGGGGAAGAAGATATCTGAGTCTTTGTCCTGTGGGTTCTGCTCTGTCTATAGCTGACCCCTAGGACTACATTTCCCAGGCTCCTTTGCACTCTGACCTCCAGCTTTCAGCCAATGAGAGGTACTGTCAGGAGAAAGGAAGAAGCCCATGGACTTTTTCCTCTCTGCTTTGGGCAGAGGGTCTGGCAGGAAGCATGTCTCCTCCACAGTGGTTGCCATAATCCCACCTCCTCTCTGTTCCTCTGCTCCTGGGGTAGAAGCAGCCTCCTGGTTCTGTAACCCCTGAGCAGCCTCACCAGTTTTTTTTTTCTTCTTTCTCACAAGTCCATCACTTGTATAACCAATTCCCTGCGTTAAATTCCCTCTGCATTAAATGTTGAGAGTATTTTTTCTTTCTTGATAAACCCTGTCCAACAAAGAAGGGTTTCTGAGTCCTTTGGGTTTCTGCTCATTGGATGGAGAACTTTGCTGTGTTAGTTCAGGCTTGAAATTCAACAGTCGAATCTCTGGAGGGACAATGTTGATAAAAACACTATTCTTATTGTTCATATATTTTAAAATAAAACATAATTTATTTAGCAGAGATCCTTTTTTAGAACTCTCCAGGGATGAATGCGCTGTGCCTTCTCTTGATGGTCTGTTCAAACTTTAACTGCTGTCATAGCAATTTCAAGTATAAACGTTCAAGTCCAAGTTCAAACACTTATTCAGCACCTACAAGGAGCACCCTGTGAGTCTGCAGGCCAGCAGGAAAGTTTCCTGCACTAACTCACCGAGCTGTTGGTTGACAGCAGACAGCTGGCTCTCATCGTCTTCCCTGTCATGACACCACCAACATTTAAACTTGTTTCTTCCTACTGGCTTTTCCAGAGCACTAATGTATCCATCACCTTGACCTTCAACACCAGCAAGATCACTGGGTTCCTGAATCCAAGAAAGTAAGTCAGCCTCCTGTATGCATGGGCGCTCAGCTGGGCTCCATCTGGATCGTGACTGGGGTGGGGATATGATGCAATCCTCCTGTCCCACCATTTGGGAAGGAAGCAAATGTCATCCCAATTGGTCCATTTCTTTTGCCCCACTGGTCCTGTCCCACAAATTTCCAAATTCTAAATAATTTGTGAATTATTTTTCAATATTATTTTACTAATAGTTTCCTTAATCTATGAATTTGATACACCAGCTGTGTTCAGGTCCTGAGATGATAAAGATGGAGCTCTTTTACACAACACACCTCCCCCTGAGTCATCCCAATGTTGCTGTTTCACCTTACTCAATCATCGTTTTCACCTCCCACTCTTACCCCACCCTTGTCATGCCACTGCGTCCTCCTTTCTAGGGACCCCAGATCACTTAGACTTCACACAGGTATGATGTCCACCTCTGCAAATCTCTGATTCATTGTAGGGTACAAGTGGAGCTGAAAGAATCCAAAGTGGGACAATTCAATGTAAGTTACCATTGTTTTTATTTATGACATGACCATTTGCCCGTTAACTGAGGATGTGTCCTAAGAATTGCCATGGCACCTTTAGAAACAAAAAGGAGAAGATCTCTGCCCTAGGGCCATGGAGAACCTCTCAAGAACACAAGACAGGACCAAGGGATAGGTATATCCCATATAAGATGATTTATAGTTAAGTTATCTATTGGACAGAAGTCTTTTAACTGCAAGGAAAAGAAAGGCAACTCAAATCATTTTACGTAAAGAGGAGGAATCCATAGAGTCATGTCCTAAAAAAGCAACAAAAGGCAACAACAACAAAATTAAGGCTGGAAGATTCAGACATAGCTGGATCCAGATGCTCAGGTTAATGCATCAAGAATCTCTCTCAGTTCTAATTTCATCTGTGTTGGCTTCATTCTCAGGCAGGCTCTTTCCATTGGTAGCAAACCCCGGATGTTCCTCTAGTTTCATTCTTTGAAAAACAATCTACAAAATGAAAACAATCTCTGAGCTAGTTAGCTCTCGTTAAACTAATGTTAGTTAAGTGCCCATTCTTGAGCCACAAATTGTGGGCAAAATTTAGGACAAGACCAATAAGCCAAATGTGAATGTCATCTACACTCCAGGAACCCGGGTTTACAATGAACTCCACCCAGACCACCTGGACTAAGGAAGGCTCCTGGGGGGCTGGGGCTATTCTGTTATCAAAACAGGAGAAAATGGCCTGTTGCCCATGGCTCACACCTACAATCCTAGCTACTCAGGAGGCAGAGATCAGGAGGACCAAAGTTCAAAGCCAGCCCATCGAATAGTTTGAGAGACCCTATCTTGAAAAACCCTTCACCAAAAAGGGCTGTTGGAGTGGCTCAAGTGACTAAAGTGCTTGCCTAGCAAGCGTGAGGCTGTGAGTTCAAACCCCAGTGCCACTTAAACAACAGTTAATACTAGAGAAGCAAACTATGGTGTGATGAAGTGATTTCCACAAGGAGAAAATGGCCCCATATGAAAGGAGGAGAAAAAATGGGAAGAAGTCCATGTGGACTGAAGTGCTAAGGAGCTTTCTGGAAAGAGGAAGGTGGGTGGAACTGCCACTCATAGGAGACTTGCTGTAGCTGTCTCCCGTGCACCATCCCACAAAGCTGCTTCCTCTGACCACATCCACCTGCCTCCTTCCTAGACCTCTCTGAGTACTCATGAAGCAGAAAGGAGCAAATGGAGGGAGGGATGCTGCTCACAGGGCCCCAAGAGAACAAAGAGTGAGATGGATGGTGATAGCCCAAAACTGTATTCCTGCTGGCATGGAAAAAGGTCCTATGAAGTGAAGCATTTGCATAAAATGTAAAAACCAACAACTGTTGCTACACCTGATCTCAGCCGAAAGGCTGAGAAGTGATTAAAAAAAAAAAGCACTAGCTGTTGACTCAGATAAACTCAGATTCAAATCCTGACCCCGCTGCCCAGTTTCATGCTATGGGCATCAGTGTCCTTCTCTGTGAAATGGGGACATTGGCACGCACTTCATAGGACTGTTGTGAAGCCTGAGTCACGTAAAGCTCTGAGCCCTGTGCCTGGCATAGAGCAGGTGTTCACAGCTGGGCTTCATAATTTTTGTAGGGCTGCCCGTTTTGTGTTTACCTAATTAAAAAAAAATTACACAAGTAATTCAAGAAGACATTTTCACTGTTAAAAACAATTAGATACTTGGACTGGGGATGTGGCTCCAGTGGTAGAGCACCTGCTTAGCAAGTGTGAGGCTCTGAGTTCAAACCCCAGTACAGGTTAAAGAAAACCCCAAGTTGAATGCCGACTGAGGGATGAGTCAAATCTTGCTGTTCTTCCTAGCGTAAGTACCGTTGGGTGTGTGGCCTTTCAAAATGTTTCTACTTGTTTGCATACGTGCAAATGTGCATCTCAAATGGTTTTAACTGATAAAATAGCAGCATGATGTAGGAATCAGCAGCTTCGAACGTGTTCCCCCGTGGCTGTGTGACTGTTGAGGGATAAGGTAGCCGCACGGTCATGGTGCACCTCTCCTGTTCTCCACCAGGTGGAGCTGTTGGAGGCGCTCCTCAACTACTACATTGTCAACACGCTCTACCCTGAGGTCAACGGTAAGAATCTCTATGGCCTTTTCCCATGACGCTGGTGGAGTGGCTCAAGTGGTAGAGCGGCTGTCTAGCAAGCGCCAGGCCCTGAGATCAAGTCCCAGTACTGCAAAAAAAAAAAAGGCGATTCAAGTCAAGTTAGGAGTGACACTGCTCTTCAGAGCAAAGAGAGTTGAATTTGGAGCTGGGAACCAGGGCTTTCCTGAGGGCTGAGTGACCCTGGGCAAGTCACTTCTGGGAGCTTCAGTGGCTTATGTGTGAGATGGGATGCTGAGGTTAGCCTCAGGTCCCTCCAGGGCTCTAGTGGGACTTAGGGGCTGGGGAGCTCTTTGGTGCACAGTAAACCTCCTTGCAAATAGGCGAGACTCGAGCAAGTGTCCACATCCTGAAGTGACGGGTGAAAGACGGAGGACCAAGTTAAAATAGAGGGCACAAGGCAACCACCTTGAATTCATGCTTCCCAGTTCACTGCCCAGCTCCTTAGCCCAGGGCCATGTGTGTGTCTGCAATTGCAGCACTCAAGAGGCACAGGCGGAAGGATGGAGAGCTCAAGGGCAGCCTGGGCTACACAGTGAGACCCAGTCTGGAAAGAAAGGAAGGAAGAGAGGGAAGAAGGGACGGAGGAAAAATGCTATTTTTCTGAGCCTTGCTTCATTTGGCTGTAACCTAAAACAGGTGGGGGAGGACAGCGAGTAGGCGCCCAGCTCCTCATCACAACACAGGCTACCGTACTCCATCTGCCCCCATACTGATGGCCTTCCTAAGTTCAAATCTCAGTTCCTCCACTTTCTAGCCACTTTTTGCCTCAATTTCCTTATCTGTAAATTGGCAGTGATAATCATATCTACCTCCTAGACTTTGGTGATCACTAAATGGGGATATGCTTGTATAGAGTTTGTAGAAAACAAGACTCTTTGGGAAAATCTTGTCTGTAAAAGTCATTAACACAGCTTTCAATGGTGTCATCAACTTGCAGATAAGTTGGCCAAAGGATTCCCCCTCCCTCTGCTAAAGCATATTCAGCTCTACGACCTTGTTCTACAGATCCACAAGGTAACTGAGGTCATGGGGGCTCTAGGGACTTGAGGGGAAGGGATCAGCCTGCCAGGCTTGGAGGCCATAACTCAGTGAGTGGGGCCTAGCCTGGCCCTGCAGCTGGGAAAGCTGGGCAGAGTAGAATGGTGGGGGGTTGGGGGGAATTGCAATGTGCTGTGAAGCCATCCACATGTCCTCTGTAAGTACCATCCCTATCGGAGCAGAAGGTATTTGATGCAGCCCTAGACCTCACACAGGGAACCTGAGGGAACCTCAAAAACAGCTCATTTTGAAAATAGTGGAAGCCCCACATTTGACCACAGGTCAGATTCTGAAAACCGCTGGTAACTTTAATAATTCCTTCTTAATTCTTAAGCAGAGGAGCTGTATTGTAAATCTACATTTGGTGTGCTTCCACGTTTTCAAGAGTCCTGTTCCCTGTATGCATCCTTGCATATTGCATAAGCTCCTTGCTCCCTTACCAGCACGGTTTGGATTTTGGTGTGCTTCTTTCCAGTCCTCCCCCTCCCACCAAGCTGGTCTTAAAATTTGTGTTAGCTTTAGGCATTTGCATTGCTGATGCTCATATCTGTTTTCTTTCTTTCTTTCCTTTTTTTTTTTTAAACTTAGTGGTACCACTTAGGTTTGATCCCTGGTTGTAACCTAGTCTCTACCTCCCAGCAATAAATAGCTGGGCATGGTCCCAGCCCACAGACGGACTGTAATTGACTTAACTAGTTTAATACCAAGAAATGAGCCTGAGTTTTGCTTGTCATAACTACTATTCTAACCAAGCCCTTTGGGGATCCTTCCAGGCCCCAAGTTTCAGGTTCCCTTTCTAGAACAGCATCTCTAGGATGAGACGACCAGGCTGGCAGACACGAGAGCATCACGGGAGATGCTGTGCTGTGCCTGGTCCATGATCAACATCCAGGAGATGATAGCAGTGGAGGGGAATGAAGGGCAGGGAAGTGGCTGGGAACGTGGAAACACTGACCAGCTGTTATATTTGGGAAAAAATGTCCAAAGTCCTTTGGGATCTTAAGATACTTATCACTCAACTGCTGCTGAGTGCTCACAGGCAGAGCGAGACCAAGCCTTGTGTAGAGCAAAGATGGAGTGAGAGTTCACACCACCAGCCTCAGTTCTCTTCTCTGTAAAGTGGGGTGTAGCCCAAACCTCTCGGGGCCAGCTATGCAAGCTCCATGTCTGGCACCTGGGAAGTGATTAGAAGGCTTATTACATCATCGTGTTCGTCAGAATTTTGAGGTCAACGCTGTTCACTCGTCTGACCATCACAGGCCAGGGATGAATCGCTGTGGAAAGAATTAGACTTTGCCTTGAGTCCAAGTGCCCACCCTTCTGGTAACGGAAATTTAAGAACAGGAGCGCAAACCCCAGCAGCTCACAATTTCACCTTCTTTGCCAAGAAGAGAAAATTTAGGTGACACAAAGGACATTTATGAGGTCTGCCAGGAAGCTGTAGCTTGGGAAATGACAGATAGATGGCTGCCTGGGAGAAGGTAGCTGGTGAAAGCTGTGCTTCATAGCGACCTTGGGGACAGGCACACTTGCAATTTATACACTGACCTAGATTCTGGCAGACCTTGTGTTTCCCAAGACAGGGCCTGCCTTCACTTGGCAAAGGCATCTTTTTGGAGTAGAAGATGCTCTTTTTTCTTTTCTTTTTCTTTCTTTCCCTTCCTTCCTTCCTTCCCAGGCTGACCTTGGCCTCCCAAATGCTGGGATTAAAGGCAGGTATCACCAAGCCCCTCTTGTTCCTTATCATTTCATCCTGTCTTGCTTTTCCTAGGACTTCCTGTTCTTGGGTGCCAATGTCCAGTACATGAGAGTCTGAGAACCAGAGAACAATGGGTCTTGGAGGCCATGGTGAATCTCCCACGTGCATCACTGGGATGTGGTACATCTCTGGAGAGTCTCAGAGGATAAGGACATTTCTGTTCTCAGCTCCAAGGGATCTGCCAGGCGCATCCACGCCCTTCCACACCTGACCCTGGAGTTCATTTTCCCTCCAAGATGGACCATTTCCCCACTGACCTGTGATGTCTTTTAAGATCAGGCACTGTAGTTTTTATTCACCATCTGATACCCAGGTCTGGCACTTAGTAGGTCATCAATAAATATTTATGGAATGACTTGATGGTGGAATCACTGGGTTCTAGCTGTGAACTGTTCACTCCCTTCTGGACTCAAGAGTCTCTGGCTGGTTGTCCCCAACTGTGACCTCCAAGGTAAGACCCTGATGACACTTCCCTTCTCACTGTCCTCTGCTAGAGAGGCCTCAAAGAGAGAGCCAGGGCCTGAGTGCTGTGCCTTGGTGCTGACGTCTGTCACTAAGGCCTTCATCTGTCTCCATTAAGGGTCAGTTCCACATCTGCCATCTCTTGCTCCTTGCTGGCTGCAGGCCCAGGAGCGAATAGCAGAACTTCAGCCTCCTGCTGCCTCCCCAGTGAGGCTGGCGTAGTGAGGGGGAATGGATCCAACCAGGGTCTGATCTGACCCAAATAAAAAGCACATCCAACTGTTGTTTATGAGCTCCAAGCCTGGAGGGGGAGGCCATGATTTCTAATTACTGAACAACAAGTCTTTGATCAGACTTAATAATTAAGAGTCATTTCCAAGTTATGTGGTTAGGCCCCAGTGCTGGAAGTCAGAAGGCTCATTTGATTGTTTTTTATTGCCCTAACGAGCAGATGGATGGAGTTGATAGCTAACAGAGAGTTCATAGGGAACAGACCCACTTACCATGTGTGAAACAGAGATGGGGTCCAAGATGGGAACCGCGTGCTATTATCCAGCTGCGACAGAGTAAGTCTCAGCTTTACCTCCTTTCTCCTCTTTATTTGTTTGCCACAATCCTCCATCCCTGTGGAAGACTGGCAAAGGATTCAGGCTTCATTTGTGTCACTTCCTCCCTCAGGTCCTTACCTGTAAGATAAAGAGGATAGTAATGGTGACCACTTCCTAGGGCTGTTGTAAAGACAACACTGGGCCATTATGGGGCTCAGTGTGCACGGCAAGGGGTGCTCAATGAGCACCAGTCTGCCAGGCATTGGGAGAAACAGACAGCACAGACTCAGCTCTGTGGAGTCCCTGCTTCTGAGAACATTGTCTTGGACAGGGTGGGAGCAGCTGGCCTTGGTTGCAGCTCACCCGCTCTGGGCCCCTGGACAAAGGTGCTCTGAGCCTCAGGGTCCTCACCCATCAAGAGAGACTGGAATAGCTCATTCCCTGGCAGGGTGATGAGAGACTAAGTGGTTCTTGTCTAACTTCTGTGAGTGCCTGGGGCATAAACAAGTCCTGTAAATGGCAGATGTGATTGCTACCTGTTATGGTTGGAGTGTGGGCGAGACACTGACCAGGGTCCTACCATAGGGCAGGAGCCCAGCAGCTCAGCATCCTAGATGTGCAATAAAAAAGTGGCGAGTTGTTCTTTGCATGGTTTTGTTTGTGCCAAACTGGGTTTTGAATTCAGGCACTGAAGTTTGAGCCACACATCCCCTAGCCCTGCATGTTTTGTTTGTTGTTTTTTTAAATAAAACTCAGGCTAGTTTGCAAGCAAGATTGCATTTCAAGCCAGGTGCCAGTGGCTCACACCTGTAATCCTAAGTACTCAGGAGGCAGAGATCAGGAGGATCATGGTTCAAAGCCAGCCTGGCCAAACAATTTGTGAGACCTTATCTTGAAAATGCCCAACACAAAAAAAGAGCTGGTAGAGTGGCTAAAATGGTAGAGTACCTGCCTAGCAAGAGTGAGGCCCTGAGTTCAAATCCCAGTACTGCCAAAAAGAAAAGAAAAGACTCAGAGAAGCCCAGGGAAGCTTTGAATAGGTATGGGTCACCCCCATACCCATGCTTTGAAACAGGAAGGAAAAATACTTATTTGTGACAAGGACAAAATGTTTGCTATTCAAAAATCAGGGAAAGTGACTCCCATGTAGTGAGACCAAACATATCTGTTTTGTAACAGTATCAAGTTTTGTGTCATGACATCCACTGGGGCAAGGCCAGGACAATGGAGCTGACCCTAGGGCCTCATTGCAGGTCCCCACCCTAAAATCCAAGTCAGTACTTTTGGACAGTTCCAACCTGTATAGGAGGACATGTCTTGGGACATGCAGTTGACCAGAACACTGGGCTGTCAAAGAAACATGAAAGGAGCATGGCATCATGACTCAGTAGATCCCATCCTCAAATAGAACTAAAATGCCATGTTGGTGACTGTCTTCTCGACCAGGGCCTGTTCCTCCCTCTGCCTTCCCTGACCTCCCCACCACCCCTTGACAACTTGATAGGACCTCCAGCCCATCCAGCATGTTTCAGGCCAGTATTCTGATTTCACTGTCTCCACATCCAAGTGCAGGCCATCATCCTTGATGGAATCCTTTCATCTCCTGACCACACTCCTTTTCCCAGGTCCAGCCTTGGAGGGGACTTGGGAAATGCTGGAGGTGAAGTGGGAGGTGGGCGGTAGCTGGGGAAGGTCTTCTTCCATCACCACCATGGCTCTGCCCAATGGCCCGGGCAGCAGGAACAGCCAAGAAAACAGAATCCACGGTGTTGCTGAGACTCAGGGCTCAGTCCCAAGACCTGCACTTTCTTCTGAGAAGCTTGAGCTGTAGCCCAGGAAAAGACGCTAGCATGCTGGGTAGTAACTGTGCTGTAACTGCTGGGATCTTGGAGAAGTCCAGGCGATGTAGGTAGCAAAGTCAGGGTCAGCCACAGATCCGAGGTGGTGGAAAGATGAAAACTGGCTGGTATAGAATCAACGGGTGAGACAAGCAGTGGAATCAGGAGTCAAGAGTGGGGGAAGGGCAGGAAAAGAAAATAGCAGGCAAACACAAAACCAGATGTCTGCATGCACTAGGGATTAGAGATGCAGATGGTCTACCACAGCCAGGGCCCTTTGCTTTTTTCACTAGGAAAGTCCAAACAATACCATCATGTTAGCACACTAAGATCTTCTGCTCTGATTTTTTTAAGTTAAAAGAGTCTCCTGGTATTCTACATTTGCACAAGTGGAGGAACCCTTCCCCATACAGATGTAATGGTGCATAGGTGAGGATGGCGCATGGAGCACCATTTCTTTAACTACCCCCACTGTGGGCCCTCTGTTGCTCCCACACTTTGCTTTCATAAATAACGTTTCAATGCACAGCCTTAGTCCTCCACCATTTTGGCTATGTGCAGACACATTAGAGAATAAATTTCAGAAATTGTTCCAATAACTTAAAGAGTACATGGTTAATTTAGTACCTGAGTGCTTGCTCCCAATCTGTCCTCTTCCACCCCCTTCTGAGGTGGTCCCGATGTATAGTTATTGTCTGGTATCCCTGGGGAATTGGTTCCAGGAACCCTCTACCCAATGGATACAAAAATCTGCAAGTGCAGGTGGCATAGAATTGCTACATTTATATGCTCTGAATCTTATATGTGGTTTAGCCTAAAAGGAGGACCTACTCAAGTGTAATTGTGAAACTTACTAGTTTAAGACAGTGTAATCTTGCTCAGTGTGATGGTACACGCCTATAATCGCAGCTAGTCAGGAGACTGAGGCAGAAGGATCAAGAGTTTGAGGCCAGCACAGGCAAGGTTAATAAGACCTTGTTGTAAGAACAGAAAAAACAAAAGGGCTGGGAGCATGGCTCAAGTGGTAGAGCACTTTCCTAGCATGCTGTCTAGAGGCCCACATTCAATCCCCACTACCACCAAAAAAAAAAAAAAGACAGCGTAGCCTTCGTTAGGTTGCTGGTGGTGGAAAATGGTGGCATCTTTCTCTCAAATCCTACAGCGCACATAAGGAGTGTCTCCCCGCAAGACCTTTTTGAATTTGTATTCTGTAGATTTCAAGAAATAGCGTGTGAAAAAACAACAAACAGAAGAGATAAAATGTGTTACCAAGACCAAAAATATGCCTCACTATTTGTGCAAAAGCAAATAAATAACGTGTGCACACCCCCCCTTATATTTTCAACTGTCTCTAGATTGCTTCTAATGCCTGATACCATGCAAACTCCAGGTAAATAGTTACCTGGGAAAATGTCATGAAGAAATGTTCAGTGCAAATGTGATTTTCTTTCAAATATTTTGATCCATAAATTGGTTAAATCCATGGATGTGGGGCCCCTGGATACAGAGGAGAGCTGACTGTATTTAGGGAAAGGGTTCAAAAGGCATCATGGCAGTAGAACGGGGAGGGGGTGGTAAAGAATTTGACAGTGGTCAGAGAGAGGTCTGGCCTTTGTCATACTTCCCTATGAGGTCATCTCTAAGTCCTCGAAATGCCTTGCTTGATAGCAGTGTCTGTTTACCTGGAGGCATTGGGCCATGCGGGCAGTGTGAGAGAGTGACCCGTGGTGGGGACTTTTGTCATATGCTATCAGCTTAACCTCTGAAGACACTGAAGACTGAGGGCAGCCACATGGGCAGACAACCAGGTTGACAAAATCAAGTTCCGAGGCCTTGCCAAGCTTCCCTGGTTGGCAGAACTCCATGCATACTGTCACACTTCAATGCTAGGAAAGTAACCTGTCCCCGCTCCACGGGGACAGGGCAACTGGAAGCTCTGCATTTGAAAATATCCTGGGCTCTGCTCTATGTGCTCTTCCCTTGACTCATTTTTAGTTTGTCCCCTTTCACTGTCATAACCGTGACTGTGAGTATAACAGCTTTCAGTGAGTTCTGTGAGTCCTTCTAGTGAATTACTGGACTTACAGTCTCAGCAATGCGCCCCCCCACCAAACGTGCAATTGGTGTCAGAGGTGAGGCTGCTCTCTTAGACAGTGACACCTCTCACTTCACAAGGGGTGTCCTGTTCCCCAATTTCTTTAATCACCAAACACACTGCTGGCCTTGGATGTTGAGTGTGAGGTCAGGGACACTCGAGTTCTGTTTTCTGTGGCCTGCTGGGTCACATAGGTCCTGTGCCCAGATGCCTCACCTCACTCCAGCTCTTTCTTGTCGGGGCTCCAAAGCCGACATTGGTCAGGAGTCCTGCCTGCAGACTGCAGAATCCACACTGGTTAGTTGGCTGGAATAGACCTGAGGCTGAGCTTCTCAGCTGGTCACAAACTAACCAGGTACAGGCCACACCAAGACACCAAAGCTCACCGTTCATGAGCACAGCTCCTGTTTTCCTAACACGAAAGCCTGTACTGACCACATGCAGGCTTTATTTTCTTATCATCGTTCCCTAAAATATTTGCATTTGTATCACATTTTATGTATGATAAGTAATCTAGGGATGATTTAAAGTACACAGGAGGATTGCATAGGTTACATGCAAATACTACCCCATTTTATATAAGGGACTTGAGCATCCTCAGATTTTGGTATCTGCAGGAGTGCTGGAACCCATCCTCTTCAGACACGAGGGATGACAGTGTTCTGTCATCTACCAGGACCAAAGTGTGTTTATAAGCTTTTTTGTCTTAACCATTTAAGATTGCAATTGTTATTTCATGTTCAGTCATCTGTTTGTGGAATGCCTCCAAGCCCACTGCTTCTCAAACTTCATGTGCCTTTGACTCCATGAGAATCTTAATAAAATGGAGATTCTGATGGAGTGGGTCTGGGGTGGGCTGAGAACCTCCTGGGTGAGGCCAATGCTGCTGGTCCTTGAACCACACTTTTGAGTATGGAGATCAGGTAAATGCACTGGAGTGAGACTTTCCTCAGTGCTGTCACCCTCTAGAACAGGGCCTGGCACCTAGGAGATGCACAGAAAATATTTGCCACATAAATGGATTTGGACCATAGATCAGACTTGGTCGAGCTCTTTGGCTTCTTCTGGCACTGTGTGAGTCACGGGTCACCGGAGTTCCCAGTGGTCTGGATCCTGGAAGAGAAACTGATTGACAATTCCCCCAAAGCCAGGTAGACTCAGAAAGTGACCCAGCAACATTGTTGAGATTAAGTAGTCAGTTTTTGTAGCATTGCTGGGTCCAGGTCTCAATGAAAACAGAATTCTAAGCAATTTATGAAAAGATCCCAAAAAGAGTCCTTTTCCCCACCCCTTTGGTGTGGGCTATGCTGAGTGACTTGCTTCCACATAGTAGAGTAACTTCACAATAGAGAAACCTGACCAACACTACATCAGTCAAGTAAAAGGTTAACGTCTTCAGTGATATTGTCTGTGTGTTTTAATGCACACTGCTATCACAAGTTACCGTAGACCGGGTGGCTCCAGCAGCAAATGCGAATCTTTTTCTTTGCAGTACTGGGGTTTGCACTCAGGGCCTACACCTTGAGCCACTCCACTAGTCCTTTTTGTGATGGGTTTTTTCGAGGTAGGGTCCCGGGAACTATTTGCCTGGGCTGACTGGCAGAACTGGGGTTGTAACTCAAGGCTTCATACTTGCTAGGCAGATGCTCTTATCAGTTGAGCCACTCTGCCAGCCATTTTGTGTTGAATATTTTCAAGGTAGGGTCTCACACACTATTTGTCCAGGCTGACCTCAAACCTTGATCCTCCTAATCTCTGTCTCCTGGCAAGCTAGGATTATAGGCGTGAGCCACTGGCGCCCGGCTCCAGAACCAATCTTGTATGGAAGATGCAGGACAAGGTCCAGGCTTCCATCCTCACGTATCTAGCA